TCTAAATAATCATAGAACTTGGCAGGTTTAGAATCCACACCCTCATGCATGAGAAGCGGGCTTCTAAACCTCCGTGCCACCACCACATTATTATTTATATAAATATGTTTTAATATCGATTTATCACGTAATACTGTTTTTCCAGATAACTAGACTAGTTCCAAGCCACACTAAGGGGTCATATTCACGAGCGCGACGCAACGATCTTTCGTCTTCGTAACTATAACTTGAAAAACCCGCTTCTAAAAATAGCTCTATATTAAGATAAACACGGTAGGTATGTATACTTTTTCAAGAAAAACCTTAAAAATTAATATTTGTATCACGTAGTGTTTTTTAAACGACACCATTATTGGTTTTTGGTAATTACGGAACTTATATTGTTTTTTGAAAATGATCTATTATGATTTCTTTGTTCGCACATACGCCTTCCATTAAGTATTCTGTCTTTGCGTACGGTTCGCAGAGTCAATAACAATTTACATGAGCAAAATATTATTTCTTTTATGCGTTTTTTGAGGTTTTTTTTTTCAAATAGGTGTTCTATTTTAAGCCTAATTATAGTAAACACTAATATAGTAAACATGATTTGACTTATAATGTATTCTTGAACCAACTTCTAGTGCAGTAAAAGAGTAACGATGGACCTCGGCCCGGCTCTAATTAGAAGAAGGAACGTTGGTTCTCGTCCCTCTAAGGAGGACTTCTTCCATCCATACAGTAAAAACAGGGAAAGCAGGTGTGTAGATACATATATTTTACCGTGTGCGTTTGCCAATACCTCCCCTAATCCCTATCCCCCAAAAGAGCGGCAACGCACTCGTAACTCCTTTGTTGTTGCGGGTGTCTATTTGTGGAATTGATTGCATATCATCAGGTAATCCATCATAACATAGAAAAAAAAAACAATATTTAGTGTCGGCCATTGCTAAAAATCAGTGCCGCGTCACTGTTTCGCATAGGGTCGCTGCATATGCCGAGCGGGAGTCATTTCGCGTGCTTGTGACGCATATTTTCTTTTCTTTTGCTATCTTAGGTATTTTACCGCGTTTATTTTTTGTTTTTACTGACTTGTCTGTTTTCTGTCATAAACGCAATAAAAAGTTTCGATATAAATAAAAAATTAATATATTATTATTAAATAATATAATTCACGATTTTAAAAAGTATCAATCACCATTCTTAAAAAAGATGTCGCATAATTCAACCACTCAATGCCAACCTTGCAATATAATTGATACGCTCAATTTTTTCAGACTTCAGTGGCACAATTGACATCTTCATAATTGGTAATTCATTGCGGTCGCATAACCAATGACTACGTCAATAACTACTTTATTCCGAGAGACGTAGGGCCGGTTTTTGTAAGGCAGTTGCCGATTTACGATTGATCGTGTTTTGTTTTTGTTCTTTTTTTTGCGTTCATTTGCCTAGAAGGGAGTTCTGAGTCATCAGATCTTATTTTTTTAAAAGGCAGGTGGCAATGTTAGGTGACCTATGAATACTTATATACAGGCTTTACGTTCATTCAAACATCCAATTACGTAGGAGGTTGCTGACGTACGTTAGGCAACTTCTCTCTGGTAACTTGTAACGGTGAAACACAACCTAAGCGTTGTTTCACGCCGGTACTTCATGAGGTCGTGGCAAGACTCCAGACCAGCTGGCCCATTCGTGACGAAACATGACTTTCCCATCATCATCATAAACATCATCAGCCTATTAGTACCCACTTCTGAGCAAAGGCCTCTTCCCACACGGAAAAGGTTTGAGCATTAATCACCACGCTTGTTCAAGTTAGATTGCGATTTCAAATTTATAATTCCAGGCTTCCGCACGATATTTTTCTACACCGTATGTCATTGGTGTCTACGTAATCATAGAAAGTATTTAAATTTCAATTAAAAAGTCTATGTTTCTTTCTTTCTTTCTAGTTGTAGACGAAATCTATCAAAAATTTCTAATATCTAATATCTAATAATCTAATAATCATACAATATCATAGAAAAAGAATCAAATACAAAATACGTCAACAAATACTAAACACTTACTGCACTTGTACTAAGAATTTTAAACAAACTGAAATTTAGACTTTAGACAATAAATAAGGTAGTTCAAATTCGCGTGCAGATAATCAAAATGATTACCGACTAATTAAAAGGTAATCAACAAAACCAATGAAGCTGATAGTTTGAAAATAAACCTAGTATTTGAATCTTGTACTGCACGCGATCTTCATTATCAAGGCTATCAAGATTTCAAATTTCTTAGTATCACGATATTGTAAAAAACACTAATTTGATTCAACTTAAAAGTCAATTCATTGAAGTAGGTACATATATGTTACCTTGTAATATAATGCTCTACAATTATAAATTAGGTTACTTGGACGTCCTGGCGAGCAAGGACAGCTCGGCGCCCGACTAAAACTAGACCTGAGTGTGCGGCGTCTAGCATTCCTTGCGCGCCTCAAAGGACCAATAGACTACCACAGATGTGGCCCAACATGGCCAGGCCAATGCTTAGCCAGGGTCGCTGGTCAAGCGCAATAAGGAACGTTTAGTCAGTAAGAGTCTGACACTCTCTTAATGCTTGGAGTCACTGTAATGGATGGAAAAGAGGTGATCCCACAGAGAACATACCTCAAAGGCCCAAACTGACGTTACAGTGGGCAGGTCACATTTGTCAAAGAACCAATGACTGATGGAGTAAAAGTGTTCTAGAGTGGAGACCACGTCTAGTCAAACGTAGTGTAGGGCGCCCTCCAGCTAGCTGGATTAATGATATCCGTGGGGTGGCTAGCAATGATTGCGGGAGAAGAGGCCGGGCTCAGTGACGTGGAATTCGAAAGGCCTTTGTCAACTAGTGGACGGAATCAGGCTGTTGATGTTGATAATAAAACACTGGCAGAAATGATCCTCCAATTTTTTTTAGATCTTTTAGTGTTTGATAATCCATGTTATATGTAATTTCTTAGTGTGGTTAGATCCCACTGATAAATGGTGAAAGAAAACATCGTGAGGAAACCTGATATTACAATTTCTAATTTTAAATTTGAAATCATTTATCCTCCTTGAGCGAGCGTGGTAGTAATTGATGAAACCTTCTCTCTGTGAGAAGAGGTCTTTGCTTAAGTATAAGCACTTACACTTAAGCTGCGGAATGTGTGTGTAGATCCAAGTGCAATGACTTACTTGCGAGCAAAAGAAGGAACAGAATGGTTTCTAGTCAGTAAGAGTCTGACACACCTTCTCGCCCTACACGAGTAAATGAAAAAAACCAAAGGCGGTCAACCTTTAACAATTATTAAACTCTTCCTATAATTTTTATATATCCAAAATTCGGTTTTGGATTTGGATATAACACTATTATTATTATTTAAAAACTTGAATTTTAATCACTATTCTATACAATATATAGTTACATGTATATGTACTTTTTATACATACATAGGTTTAGATAAACATTCAACCGGTTTTTGTAAGTAAGTAAATGTATTTTTTTTCTCATTTGTGATGCTAAACTAGCAAGGTTATTTATGATTAAAAATATAATAAAACAAGTAATTTCTGCTCACAACACAAAATACGAAACCTATATTTTTTTGAATAGGTCTTGGTTTGTAGCCGTGTCACAGTTTCGATTCCTCAAGGGACAACTCTTTGTGTGATCCACAAATTTTGTGTCACTACATAGTATAAAACAAAGTCGCTTTCTCTGTCCCTATATCCCAAGGCACTTATGCTTAAAACTCCATAACGTTTTTTTTTATTTATTGAGGGATAATAAACAACTACGATATATAAAACACATGGTTTACAACACTTAAGATAGTAATGTAGCAGTCCACTGCATTATCCACAGATAAAACATATTTAATGATCAGTGGTTGCTACTAGACAAGCATCACCAAAATTAACAAATAGTTAGAAACAAATATATAAGTATTTTGATGTGGTTATTTTCATAGATAGTGTGATTGAAGGGGAAGGTTTATATTATTTAATAGTGCAGAATTTTAGTAGCAGCGTTGCACCTATGCGAAGCCTAGGTAGGTCCATACTTTACCTTCGGTAATCTTTGTGTTAGTGCCCAATAAACTTGTGTGTAATATAGTTTACATTCTGCATTCAAATTTATCTGCTACATAGTCGATTCTAAGTGAAACAGGACCACGGTATTGTAAACACAGATTCATATGGCACGCTTTCATCAAAAACTTATTTCACTTTACGTGTGTAGCGATTTATATTAAAACTGATTACATTTTATGTGTAGAGCGATTTACATTAAAACTGGTGTAACTTGAATTGATATACATACAACCCGAAGCCCTACCTTCATTAAAAAACTCAATAATATCCGTTTTAAAAATGAAGATAAAAGATACAAAAGCATTTAGGTTATCGCTTGGTTTAATTTAATTCTGCGGTACAATTTAAGAATATAAGAAAAAAAAATTTGTCCTTGAAAGGGTTGGCGACCATGAATATAGTGCACGAAAAATGTACCCAAAAATGTTTATTATTTTTATTATATAACAAATTAGCGACCCGTCCCGGCTACGCACGAGTGCATTGATACTAATTCATTTTTATTATTTTACCACTATTTAATGGAGGTTATATATTATTATTATACATATTATAAACCTTCTTCTTTAAACACGCTACCAAGTAGAAAAACCGTATCAAAAAACATTGTCTACTTTTAAAGGTTTAAGTATACATAGGAATAAAGGGACAGAGAAAACGACTTTGTTTTACACCATGTAGTGATATACAAACTTAATGCACCAAAACCCTAGCGAACGCCGGCGTTCGTGCACCTATTACTTCTATTGTGTCTCGAATCACCACAACTCAAAAGCAAACCAGACGGAAAATAATAGTGATATACAAACTTAATTCATCAAACCCAAAGCGAATGCCGGCGTTCGTGCACCAATTATTCTTCTATTATGTCTCGAGTTAAGCAAACAATAAAATAAAGAAACTTACCTAGTACAGCTATGAGTAATTCCTTCCACAAACATCGCTTTGTCTCATTATTTTTCACCAATATATTCTGTGGAGTTATTGTGTACACCATTTTCACTGAATCACCACTGTCTATGTCTATGCTTTTACAAGTACTGTCTACATGAGTTGTCTGAAAGAAAATCACTAGTTTAAATATGATTCTTTTATATTATCTATGTTTGCAATCGACTTATCAGTATCTCAGCTCTTAAATACATATAAAGGAGGTGTCATATGTACCGTTCTGTCATTTTAATAAAATACTCTGGCACTACAGATAAAAAATTATAAATAATATTTTTAATATGAAAAAAATAAAATATTCGTTATATTTAATTGTTATAATAAAGGTATTCGTATGTTTACGTGGGCTGTGTTGACGAACCTTGAAAGGAGATCGCTATTAAATAATTGTTTAGCCTTGCAATAAATACCAATAATAATAATTTCTACACTCGTCATAATTTATTAGACAACGCACTTCATTGCAGATTTAAAACACGAGTGTTTATTAAGTTTCATTAAAAAATAATCTATTCTATTTATTTTAAACCAACACGCATTCTTTTTTTAAATTAATACTTATTTTAAATGTCAGACTTTACTGCTATTCGAACGTAAATATCATTCGAATATTTAAATAAATATTTCTTTATTTAAAAATCACTTTCACCACGTCACTAATTTAAAAATAAATTAACAATAATACCACTCACAGCCTTTTTGGTTTTAGTTATTTTTTGCACAATACACTTACAGTGCACAAAATATATAAATAAATATTCAAATAACATTTTATATAACTATTATTATAAACGTTAAGTAGTCTAAGCTGTTCAATGGTATGGACTGTCACTGACACTAAGGCAGACAGTCACCAGCTACTTCTAAAGCGAATGTGAACGTATTATCTATTTCTTAATCCACATTTATAATTCTTAAAATTCTGGTTTTCGCTGTCACATAAAAAATGTCATATCAATGTATCGTATTGTATAACTAGTTTCCGTCAGCGGTTTCGCGCGTTTTACCAATGTAAAGTAGTCTTTGTGTTATTCTGAATTATAATCTATATGTACGCCAAATTTCATTCAGATCTGTTTAGTAGTTTTTATGTAGAAATGTAACAAAGATACTTAGAAACTTTTCCGTTTGTAATTATTATTATAGTAGGATTTATGTATCAATTTATTTATGTTGTAATTAATACTTCAAATGCACATTCAAGTGTATTGTGGATTATACATATTTGTGGCTTTTAAATTATTTTATCTCTATTATTATGCTGTTCAAATGGACCTAGATATTGCAGTCCAGAGATAAAATATTTCTAGTACATATTTAGTGTTATATTTTATTGAAACGAATTTATTAATGGACGTAAACAAATAAAAAAAAAAACAAAACACAATCGAAACAAAAAAAATGTGATTGTGTAAAAATGATATTTAAATAATAAATATAAAAATGAAAATCATTTTACAAATAAATGTAACACTATAAACCCACCATTATAAAATAGAAGGTCACACGAAAACGCACGTTATCACTAGTAATTAAGACACATTATTCGACACTGAATTTCAGCTGAACATTTTTACAGGCTTTTTAATATTCGCTGATAAAGTAACCGTTCTATTACAAATTAATGCTGAAGACGTGACGACCGGCGCGTGTGTGTACTGAGTTTAAACTTTTAATGCGCAGGCGCATTTGAACGGCTTGCTACTTCGCTAGCCCGAAGGTTTGTTTATCAAACTGTGTATAAATATAACTAGGCTGTTAGTATTGTTTCATGAATGATATCAAAATTTTTGTTTTGTTTTCTAGGTAGGTAGGTATAGCATTTTCAAAACGTATTGTTTAATGACAGTGAATGTTGTAATGCCTCAGGATTATTAACAGGTAAACAAAGCTTATATCATTTTTTTATTTGCTGTAAATTATAATTATTTTTACATTTCTGGATTTCTCCTCTTAATAACGCTAAAAGAATTGGATTGTGATATTGATAAGAGATTTGAGTTACTCTGTTTCTTGCTCGTTCTTCTTCAAAGGAATCTACTACTTTTAAATGAGTATAGCTATACTACAAGACTTTACCTAAAATTCTGTTTTACGTCCAAACGTAGTTTATATTGGTATAATTGAAATAATAATAATAATAAGTTGGTTTAAATTTAAGTACATTTTAGCAAAAATTTCTTAGTTTTTAGTATTTTTCTTTAGTTTTTGCACTGCATCGGTTGTACAAAATCACATCCACCGAAAAAACGACTAAATTTTTCGACGTTTCTGCTTGCAATTCGAGCAAGTAAACTCTCCTGTTCAAACGATCCATCCAGCTAATAAACGTAAATTGTACCTACTGGAACCATGCATCCTGTTTTTTTATTCACATTGAGAAAGAGACGGAGATATTTTTGTACCGCTGACATAATGGATGTCTTGAGAGATGAAGGACTTTTGTTGTCACTAGTACCTAAACTACAAAAGACTACAAAAGAGCATGATATTACCAATATGACTTAGTAGTCACTCATCATCATCATCATCATCATCAGGCTACAAGTACGCAATGAAAAGCAAAGGTCCTTTCTCACAAAGAATATTTATGTCTTAGTATTTTTTTAATTGGTACTTAGTTAAGGCGGAAACTAGTAACTCTGGTTTCTCTACGAAGTTTTTATTTAACGTATATGATTGTTGTCTAAATAACATTTACATACATTGTTATAACTCGGAAAAGTTCGAGTGTGTTAGAGCCATACTTCGTCAAGAATGGGTCGGCTCGACCGGAGTCATACCACGGCCTTACAGAAAACGGCGTGAAACAACCACAGCGTTGTGTTTCGCCGTGTGAGTGAGGTTACCGGAGCCCCCTCCCAAATCCCTAATCCTCAAAAGGTCGGCAACGCACTCATAACTCGTCTGTCGTTGTGGTTGTTCATTAGCAGCGCTGCTTGCTTACCATCAGGTAATCAGTCCGCTCGTTTACCGACCTATTGTATAAAAAAATAAAAAGTCGTATTTATCAACACTATCACTAACCAATGTTGGGAATCATCACTGACTACAAGAAAGACTCAGTGGAGCATGCGGTGGCGGGGTGTCCTGCCTAGGCTGGGCGCTGCTGTATTCTCAGTGGAAATGATAGGTGGCGGTGACCTCTCACTCGGTCCTGCTTAAGTTGTGAAGCGGTGAACATTATGACAAGAATTTTTATACTTACCTATTAAGCCAAGGTGGTTGGAAAAAGTCACATTTATACTACTACCTATACCAATGTTAGTAATCGTCATTGACTACTAGGACTACAAGGAAGACGCAGTGGAGCATAGGGTGCACCCGGCTTGGGCTAAGCACCGCCGTGTTTTTAGTGGAACTGGGGTGTGAGTAGTAAGACTTAATTCTAAATTTCGAATCTGAATCCGCTGTGATTAGTAGTACACTAGCGCTACACTTGCGAGTTGAACTAAATTGACAGCAACATTTTGATAGATAAAGTATGAGATGACGTTAAAAGTGGCATTCTAAAATTTAATTTCCCCGTCATTTCGACGCTCACTTTGCACTCGAACACGATTCAAAATCAAACAAATTTTATAGAATCGACGTGCTGATCGGTGGTGACCTCTCACTCGGTCCTGCTCGTAAAGCGTGGACATTATGTCAGGAATGTTTAATACCTATTCAGCCAAGGTAGTTGTGGGTGCAAGGATTTATGTAACGCCGACACGTCCCTAAGTAGGAGAAGGAATTTGAGGGTTTTTAGTCAGTAAGAGTATCACACTTCCTATCTTCATTTGGGGATTTGATCCCTCCCCTTTTGTTGTTTTTTTTTGTGAGGCGAAAATCATCAAATCACTTCTCCCTCCCAGGGAAGGGAGTGTTAGACTTACTGACTAAAAACTCCCCGTTCCTTTTCCTGCTGGAGCCCGCAGTGCCTCATTGCGCTTGCCCCGAAACCCTGACTGACCCCCTTTCCTCTTCAAACCCTTTAATATTGAGGAAACAATTTAATTTATTTTTTTATTTATTTAAACTTTAATGTACACAAAACAAGTGATGGTACAGGCGGACATTAATGCCATATAGCATTCTCTCCCAGTCAACCTTAGGGTTAAATAGGAAATCGGCGATAAACACAAACAATCAGTTCTTAAACCGAATATTGTTGATGATTCAGAAAAAAAATTGCCTTCCAAATTTTGAATTTGCATTTGCGTCATAAAAAGTTTCGTCTTAGACTATCATAAAAAAAACAACAAATAAATTTAAAAAAAGGAACTCAATCATTTTTCATTAATAGCTTTAACACAGTTATTAACCTTTTATGAATAAAAAGTACATATAAACTGGTTATACTTGATCTAGACTGTCTGATAGCTAGAATTAAACTGGTATGTACCAGATACTGTAAGTACGTACGTATGCACTGAAGTAGGCACTTCAGAGTTTAGATCGCACGGTTATTATATACACACTTTTAATTCAAAAATAATGGCAACTGCTTAAAGAACCGATTTTAATTAAACCGGATATGGTACTTTCTATATTTATTTAGACACAACTGACATACGGTGAAGGAAAACATCGTGAGAAAACCTGGACTTATAATTACTAATTATAAGATTGAAATCGCCAATCCGCCTTGAGCAAGCGTGGTGATTAGTGCTCAAACCTTCTCTTTGTGAGAAGAGGCTTTGCTCAGCAGTGGGCACTTATAGGCTGTTGATGTATGTATGTATGTATGTATGGATATGGGACAAGCCCGCCATAGTCTCCCATAACTGCTGCAATTCCTGTAAGCTGGAAGACAGAGTAGATACAACCATGATAACACCGTAACACTAAAGTCCGGCGCGTCTCAGGACTATGAATGACTGTCTTGGCTCTCTTAACGGTATTATATCAGAAGATAATTATTCGAGAAAAATAAAAAATCAGGACTGAAACGGGCTCATGCGCAACTATATTAATGAAGGTCCTAAAATATAATTAAAATCATTTTTCGAAACCTTCTTTAATGTAGCAGTTATACGCGGTTTTATTTTTTTGCAGAAACATAAAGTCTATTTATTATTAGACCATATAATTATATTATTATATTTATAGACCTTGATTTATATTGATTACGGGTAAGGTAGCAAGTTTCAAAATCATTTTTATGACGGCAAACTAGCACCCGAATATTCTGCTGCTAAGCAATCAGCAACGCCCATGGACACTATAGTAATACCAAAGAAATCACTAAGTGGTGGGTTATTAGGGAATTGGGGATAGGGGTTTTGAGGATTGAGGATGGGGAGTGAATGAGTGGGCCTCCGGTAACCTCACTCATACGTCGATACACAACGTAAGTCTTATTTCACGTCGGTTTTCTGTGAGGCCGTTTTCTCGACCCCAGTCGAGCCGGCCATGCTGAAGCATGGTAGTTTCCTGGATTTATTATTTGAAAGTATTTAAGTCTAGAATAAATGGCAATAAATACTCTTAAAATAAATAAATAAGTATGAGTAAATAGTACACCTACATAGTGTAAATATTTGATTACATATTATCGGACTAGGACATAAAGTCAAGGAACCATTTGCAAATAGAAAACTAATCATTGAGTTTTAATTTATTTACTAAAGAAATATTACTTGATACATAACGATAAGTGATTGGACGACAATTTTTTTTCTTTTGTAATGAGCCGGTCCAGTAACCAGTAATGGCGGTAAGAAATAATGCGACCTATGAAAAAGAATGCCTACCCAAGCCATAAGCAATTTATTCACTCAGGACTTGAAGATCTTGGAACAAAAATTCCGACGAAGAATTCCACAATCGTGTGGGTGCAATATCCACATTGAAACGGTAACGTTTTGCCGATTATCGAGTGGTACGATGGTGGAAAATACTTTTTTTTTGTTTTTTTTTTTTTACTAGTCGTTGCCCCACATTAGGATTTTCTCCTGTGTCGTGGGTGCTGTTACAAACATACAATTTCACATACACAAGACACCCAGACCCGGAACAACAATTTGTGGATCACACAAAGAGTTGTTCCGTGCGGGAATCGAACCCGTGACACGTTGCACGGCAGCCAGTTGCACAGCCACCGCACCAACAGTTTTAGGCCATGCAATGGTGTCGAGTGAGAGGAACTGAAAGTAATGTCCTACTTCTGTGATGCAGTCATGGTCCTGGCTCTTTTCTATTTAGTGGGGCTACTAGGTCGACCTAGATCAGAAAAATGGGGGTGGTTTTTTAATAAGTATCAGTCTAACATTTAGCCTTCAGGGAGTAAGAAGACATTTGATGATTTTTCCCGTCAATAAAAAAATACTTCAATCTATTACTAAAATATTCGAAAATAAAACAATAATAATTTAAATTCTCCTTTAACTTTAGTCATTCACCTAACGAGGAAGTTCTTTGTTACAAATTAATGCTATTAAAAAGATAATTGAAAAAAAGAACAAGGCCTTTGCATGTACCCATGCACTTACTAAGCCTGTTTTATTAACAGCTGGTTGTTTTATTTAATAATGATAATTGATTGGTATGTATTCATATATCATAACATTCATCCATTAATCAAAATCAACGGTCATACGGCTACACTTCGAGCCATTAAAAACCATTATAAATTGACCTTTGAATGTGCGACCAGATCTTATAAAACGAGACTATTATGTAATGGATTTATT